TCGTTTAGCCAGACGTAAGATGGATTTGTAACAGTTGATGTGGACCCGTGAATATCCGGGTAGAATCGGTCTTCAGCAACCCATGCTTGCCGTAAAAAGCGACTATGCTTGTCGTAAGAGGCGACTAACGGGATCGGGTGGTCAGGGTCGTTGACTTGGTTGATGCATGTCATCGTATCCCAATTGCGTGGATCGATGCTCATGATGTCAATCACTGGATTGTCTGGTCCCGACTCGATTATTTACAGACCACCGTCATATAACTGGAATATTGCTGAGTGCGGCGTTAAACAACAAACAAACAAACAAACAAACATATTATGACTGGATCATATTCGATTAATACAAGCCGATATTATATGGTTTTAAATGCCGGCTGCGCTGTAAAACACGATTAAAATCATCTCATTTGTAAAATGCGCTGTTCATGGTACCTTTAAGATATCACCCGTTCGGTTTTTTCGGTGACAAATACGCCTATCCTATGGGCATTCTTGAGGAGGGTATTTGAACAGCTATCAAATGAACCTCATCTCAACACCAGCTTTTAAAGCCTCGTACAAACACTTTTCTTATCTTCAATTGCACAAAGGTACGCACCATACTTACAAACACATACCTGCGCTGCTAGGTGAGAGGAGGGCGTAACACTGCTTCCGAGCGGAGCGTCGGGCAACTAGAAGCAGCCTTTACCTGTGTGTGGCATTTAGGATTTCGGAAAGTCTGGCCAAATATTTGCTTGTCCCATCTCAATACGAAGGACGTCGCATGTGGCATTAGTTTGATCGTTGATAATTGGTTGAAATACTAGTACCTTCCTCCGAAATGGATGCTATTGTCCAGATAGCATATATGCGCTAATATATATGTGTGTGATTGCACCTACAAGGTGTTGCTTGGGTGGCCCAGTCGTCTAAGGCGCCGCGATTCGCTGTGCAGAGTTGCGTCCCTTGGGCACGCCAGAAACCTATGATTGTGGGTTCGAATCCCGGTTCGCCCCGATTACGTTTTGTCAGTTTGTCAGCACCATACCCGTGCTCGTGGGTTTCACCGAAGTGGTACACGTCTGAGACCTGCATCACTTCGGGCTTTCCTCCCATATTAAGCTGACTCGCCGCGATATAACTGGAATACTGTTAAAAGCGGCGTTGTACCAAACTCGCCCAAGGGACGCAACTCACAGCTGATTGCGGAACGTCTTGGAAGGGATGCATGTGTTTGGTATAGCATATCGTATATGCCCAAAGCCAAAAAGAGACTATTCGGCATAATTTTAACAAATCAAATATTTGAACAAAACATTGCACTCAGTTTCATTATTTTCTTGACATGAAGCATTATTAATGACAACATTTTGAATGAAACCTTTATTTGTGCTCATCAGAATATTATGAAATGGAAACAGTGTGTCTTCTTGTAAAGTGATCATGTATAACGCCTAAGGAATCTCTGCATGACGTCCATGGGAGTAGCGATAAGGAGCTGCGGAAACCCCTCCTTCGGGATACATGTAGTTCTGACTCCAGTGTACGTGCTTCGCGACGCAATTGAGTGAGTGAGTGAGTGAGTATGGTTTTACGCCGCTTTTAGCAGTATTCCAGCAATATCACGGCGGGAGACACCAGAAATGGGCTTGACACATTGTACCCATGTCGGGAATCGAACCCGGGTCTTCGGCAAGACGAGCTAACGCTTTAACCACTAGGCTACCTGACCGCCCCTATGTTCGAAGACAGGATCTGTACACCATACACATACAGTAAACTACGGTTATAACGAACACGCTTATAACGAACTAACGGATATAACGAACTAACTTTCTAGTCCCGACTATATGCTGTAGTTATGCTGTATATATGCTTATAACGAACTACGGTTATAAAGAACTAAAATTAGTAGTCCATTTGAGTTCGTTATAACCGTAGTTTACTGTATATTATTCAAAAGCCTTTGTCATTCGAGTCATTTCTATAATTACTTGAGTCATTTCTATAAGCAATCATAACTGTTCCTTCTTTGTAGGTACGTTTTGACACATGCACAGAAACGATTCTTCACTGCCACTCTATGTTTATTATTAAATCTCGAAGAGCAAAACTGAAATAAATCCTTTGAACTGTATTGAAAGCACAGCCGATAGTTGTTCAGATTGTACCCAGTTGGTCTTTGCGAAAGGTAATGCTTCAATACAACCACTCTCTGAAAGACTTTAACCGCACCTGCACAACAGTGACATGTGTAAGGGTCTGTTAACAGATTTGTTACATTCTGTACACTCAGGGACCGCCTCCGTGGTCTAATGGTAGAACGACCGCCCGGAGAGCGGAAGGTCCAGGGTTCGATCCCGGGCCGCGTCATACAAAAAGACGTTAAAAGATTGTACTTGTTGTTACCCTGTCTGGCGCTCGGCATTAAGGGGCTAAAACAAGGACTGGTCGGCTCGGAGTCAGTATACTGTGTCTGAGTGGGGTATTCATGTTAAACTGCGGCATGGTATCTCAGTGAGCTAGCACTATAAATCGGCATCAGTCCGGACTAGTACAAGCAGCCACACACACACATACACGTGCATGCACGTCGCTATATAAGTGCAGTAATCTTGGACGCGACGTTAAACCCAATTTCACCTCAGCTTACTTATGTTCGAAGACAGGATCTGTACACCATACACATATATCATTCAAAAGCCTTTGTCATTCGAGTCATTTCTATAATTACTTGAGTCATTTCTATAAGCAATCATAACTGTTCCTTCTTTGTAGGTACGTTTTGACACATGCACAGAAACGACTCTTCACTGCCACTCTATGTTTATTATTAAATCTCGAAGAGCAAAACTGAAATCAATCCTTTGAACTGTATTGAAAGCACAGCCGATAGTTGTTCAGATTGTACCCAGTTGGTCTTCGCGAAAGGTAATGCTTCAATACAACCACTCTCTGAAAGACTTTAACCGCACCTGCACAACAGTGACATGTGTAAGTGTCTGTTGACAGATTTGTTACATTCTGTACACGCAGGAGTCATGCTAGGCGGTTGTATTTGGTTATTCTCCGCGAAGTAATTACCATGCCGCGATACCGTACCCCGAAACCAATTGAAAACGGTAAAGCTTAATTCACCCTTCCTAATATATCAGACACATTTGACATCATTGGAAATAATTCCATGTCCGGTTTTGGATGAGTGAGTGAGTGAGTTGGAGTTTAACGCCGCTTTTAGCAGTATTCCAGTTACATCACGGCGTGTCAGCTTAATGTGGGAGGAAAGCCCGAAGTGATGCAGGTCTCAGACGTGTACCACTTCGGTGAAACCCACGAGCACGGGTATGGTGCTGACAAACCTAGAAACATAATCGGGGCGAACCGGGATTCGAACCCACAATCATAGGTTTCTGGCATGCCCAAGGGACGCAACTCTGCACAGCGAATCGCGGCGCCTTAGACGACTGGGCCACCCGTGCCCCCGGTTTTGGATAGAGTGGATTTTGGAATGGGCTAATTTATCCAAGGAAGAGAAGTAATCTACAAGTATATACGTGTTCCTGAACATAGCGTTCGGGACCACACCTATTGGATGTCGCAACCAATTTATATAATGAGCATTGAGGGTACAACTATTAAGTGGTTCTAGGATGTAAAGCTCTATACAGCAAGAACGAAATACTCTTCATACTAGGTGAAAGGATGAATGAAAAGTTCATAATATTTCCCTGAAACAAATCTGATGCCCACTATATCCAAAATCGAATCCCAATGTTTAAACGTCGCAAAGCAAGTGCCCAAATTTGTAAAATAATCAAATAATCAAAGAGTAGTAAAGGTGACATCGAGTTCTTCATGGAGCTGTAATGAGAAAATGAGAGTGAACGTGAAACACTTCGATATACTTGACTGAACTGACTCCCTTTGATAGGTATCAGCTTTCAATTATTACTTATCTGTTACATTTCTATGTGTTAATTACGACCTTCACAGACATTGATAATACACTGTCACTCATAAATACTCATTTTATTGATCAAACCGTATGTTGTAACACAAAGTAGTCCACATGTTATAAAAAATTATTACTGTCTTTCTCTGAACGGTTCATAAATCAGCCATTCATACAGATAGCGTACGTGTAAGAGAGTCCCCCTGGCCCAGATCTAAACTAACTTGACTCGGCCGCCTGCTTTACACACTCTTCTATTCTGTACACATTGTCAAAGTCTAAAGGCGGTCTGGTCTTCTTGAAGGACAATAAAACCTTCACAGCAATTCGCACCGAGCTAATAAACCATACACCACGACACACCCTGTTGAGCATACGATATGTGTGTTATTACTTATGTTATATATAAATAGATCAATGCAGCTAGGTAGGTGAAAAAGTATTAGTGAGCGTTTTGTAGGCATGCAATTTCGTCCATCAAGCGACTACCGTCGTCACATTCTTACCTGATCAAATCACACCTATCTATGAATTACTATTGCCATTCTTTTGTATTGGTATTTGCAAAATTGAAGAGTCCTTTATATTCTACACATGATTTATCAGACGCTTGTTACCCCTGATTGCGATTGACTAACACAGCTTGATGACTTGATTGCTTGTAAACCCATGCTTTTCTTTAAGAGGCGACTAAGGGGATCAGGTGGTCAGGTGACTCGGCTAAAACATATCACCGTATCCCGATTGCGTGGATCGATGCATATGATGTCAATTACTGGATTGTCTGGTCCAGACTCGATTATTTACAGACCGCCGTCATATCGCTGGAATATTGCTGCGTGCGGCGTTAAAAAACAAACAAACAAACTGATTGATTGTTTAAAAAAGCTCCGGTTTGGGGCGTTTTTTATGACATCAATCACTGGTTTGTCTGGCTAAGACTCAATAATGTATAGGCAGCCGTGGTATGTCAATATTGCCAAGTGTGGCGTTAGACAGATACAAACAACACATAGCCTGATGATTAAGCACCAATAATTTACACACATTGCTTTGTGTTTCAGGTCTATAGGCTCTATAATCGGCGGGGTGCCGTCCTTGAAGAAGCTTCAAGGGGCGAGCAACGACGACTGGATCGACAGACTAAACCATGTATGGACGGTTTTTCTTTTCGCCTTATTCGCTATCGTAGTGAGTACTGGACAGTTTGTTGGCGACCCAATTCACTGCTGGTGCCCAGCGGAGTTTACGGGAGCCTATGTCGATTATGCCAAATCATACTGCTGGATTAAAAACACGTACTACATCCCCATGGACACGCCCATCCCCGTGGATCATGCAGAACGCGATTCCGAGGAGCTGACCTACTACCAGTGGGTTCCTCTCATTCTCCTCTTCCAGGCGTTCATGTTCAAGTTCCCCAACATCTTATGGAGAGTCTTCAATGGCGGCGCTGGCATCAATCTGGACAAAATTGTTGAAATGGCCGAACAGACCCAGATGGGATCTCCAGAAGACCGTAACACAACGATCGAACACATCGCCAGGTACATGGACAGATGGCTGGAAACCCACAGAGAGTATCACTGGAACATCATCGTCAGAGCTAAACAAAAGATGGCAAGGTTCTGTTGCTTTTTCTGCAACAAGAGAGCCGGAACCTACTTAACTGCATTTTACCTCTTCATCAAAGTCTTGTACGCCGCCAACGTCATTTCTCAGTTTTTCATCCTGAACGCTTTCCTGGCAACTGAATACAACATGTATGGTTTTGATGTCATGGCCATGTTGGCCTCCGGGGGTACATGGAAAGAGTCCCCACGGTTCCCCAGAGTCACGCTTTGTGACTTTAAGATTCGTCAGCTTCAGAATATCCAAACCTGGACAGTGCAGTGCGTCCTTCCAATCAATCTCTTCAACGAAAAGATCTTCATCTTCATCTGGTTCTGGCTCGTCCTCGTTGCGGCCCTCACATGCGTCAACATGGTGGCATGGTTGTATAGGGTAATGTTCAAGAGAAACAGACCAGCTTACATCAAGAAGTACCTGAAAATCAGCAACGAGCTCCACACAGGGTCCGACAAGAAACTGTGCGCCAAATTCGCTGACCAGTATCTTCGGGATGATGGTGTTTTCGTTATTCGAGTCATCTCCAAGAACTCTACAGATCTCGTTGCTACAGACTTAGTGTTTAAACTATGGAAGATCTACAAGGATAAAACTCTTCCATCCAAGAACCCTGAAGATGATGAGCCAACAGGAGATGAGGATAAGAAAGCCTTAGCTTCATCATAAACAAACGAACATATAGAAATCATTGTACACCAACATCTGGACCAGGACCAGAAGGACGGAAGTGGCATGGCACATTCTGTTGAAACTGTGTAAACAGAAAAAAACCGATTCTCTTAAGTTGGTTTGTGGTGATAGGTGTGAGATGCAAGTTAGCCAACAAAACACATGTGTCATGTGCCACACATGCTTTTAGGTGTTTGTAGTTATAGAAACACTGAAATTAGTCTTGAAAGTAAGAACACAAGTGGGGTGTTTACGTGATTTCAATGAGTGTAAGATCAAAATAGTCTTCCAAGTACATGCAATGTACAACCACCAATCTTGATTTACTAGACTCCAGCATACTAGCGTTCAAAATATTTCCGCTGCTAATTCTAAATTGTGGTAGTTTGTTCTGTGCAAGAATGACATTCATTTACAGTTTTGAGGGTATTGTTGGCCCATTTCACCCGTAAAGAGATGGTTGATGAAGCTAGGACGTACAGGTGTTAGCTAACAACATACTAATGCCTATTTGCACAAAATACTAACACGTTCAGCTTACCTCACCAAGGTGCCCCAGCATAGAACCTTCTTCTTTGATTTTATCTGTGTGAACATGACTTCGGACTTCACAATGGCTACTCAACTTTTGTCGTTCCGGTGATAATTCCAAACTGATTTAACATGAACTAGTTGCATAGAATGACCTTTCAATGTAAGTCTCTATGAACAAACAGTCCTCGTTTGGGAAACCAGTCATGGAATTTAATATGACACTCAACCCTAATTGCTAATCACTGCCAACACCTTAGAGTTCTCAGTGAAAGGGTCAATAATCTGCACAGTGTTCTCTGAAAACAATATATTGAATGAGCTTCTTGCTTTAAGCTAGCATTGGTCACTGAACATCTCGTATTTAGTTTTCCATATTGCTGACGTGTCTATCTAGTCACCAAGCTTGCACGTTATGTACACAAATTACAAAATGTACTAAAAATTAATTTCGAACAACCCCACATTCCGTACAGTTGTGATAAAGAAATCAAACTTAAAACATTATTAATCAGCTTAGTGTGTAATATAGGTATGTAGATGACTATATCATGGATATATATATATTGGTAGGCTTTGGTATAGAGTTAGATAACTAACATACCTAACAAGGTGGCTGTTCAATCAAAAGTATGTACATGTATGTAGTTACTAATACGATATTGTTCTAGAGTAGATATTGTCATTGCTTTGGTACATGTACGTCATCATAGATATTTGATAGTATGGGTTGTCATGCAGCTGTCTACGAAATTGTACTGATTTACCCATGTAACTGAATTCATCAATTGCTCGTAATCGTCTTCTGCTATTTGTACCTGCTTGTTTATGCCATCTATTAACATAAGTACTGTACCTGTATGTTCCAATGTCTTTCCATTCTACATGGCTCAGTAAACCATATGGCATTATGATGTTATATTTATGAAGTGAATCTGTATGATCTATCACAAATAGTCATCTATGCAAATGAGATGGTTCTCCGTCAAGTGCCACCATCAGCAGCATGGTTAGTTTTGCTCTTCTTCGTGAAGGTAACGAAGGATAAATGTGATAGCCAGTTTGTCTGTACTGTTCTTCCATGTAATATAGATATATTTTCTACAGTTTATATATTGCGCCCAGGTGGTCACAATCTGCTAAATGTAAATACATGTGTTTTATTTGTGTTTTATATGTGTTATTGATGTTCTTACTATTAACGAAGCGCGCAACAAATCCAGGAACAAGTTACACGAATGTAAGATTTGAATCGACCGTACCCAAATTTTAAATTTAGTCAGTAGTATAATTAAGAAAATTTAATATTACTGAATCCGTGATATCCATGTCTGTCTTAAATGGCGATCAGGGGAGTCAATGGGGAGGGACCACAATGGATGTTGAGTGAGATCAGTGATTGTTGTTGACCACAAAGAAGATAACAAGCGCCTCCTGATGGCAAGGTTCGATCCCCAACCAGTGGTTTACATGCTCCAAGAATTCCGTCGCGTTGGGATACGACAGATAATCGCGTAAGACCCGAAATACTCGCAAAAATGTTTCATGAATCCATTCCAGGTCACAGTCTCAACTATGCATCTCAGCTGTATCTGACGTATTTCCAAGAATGTTTTTCTTATTCATTCCATTTTCTGAGAGCACAGAAGCAAATATCATGTAAGCGCCAAATGTACAACATGTATATGTGTGTAGAAAAGTTGTAATTAGATCAACGGCCTAGGGACCAAATTACTAAAGTTCCACGAAGATATATTCACCATTTTTCATTTAATGTTCATTTCATTACGTGAGGATGAAAATATTTTGTATTTCCACACGCTAAACCGATATTGGTGGGTTGTTACAACGAACTGTACATAGTGTTTCCTTATCTGGCCTGGTGTATAATTTTGACATATATCCATTCACTGGAACTTTCTTAATTCAGACGAGAGATTATCTGAATAGTTATCTCTTCTTTTTTTAAAAATAGTTGAACTTTATGTATGTTTTCATTCAAGGAGATTTATAACCTTACGTTGTTAATATGAATGAAATCTAGATTGATTTTTAATGTCAACATTTAATGTATTATGAAAATGCAAGTACAAATAAAATATATAATATTTGCCTGTCGTTATTTGTCAACTTTGTGTCTTGCATGCGTGTCTTATGCAATGTACATCCACTTTCATGTTCTGCGGCTCTCCGCGTGCCGGCTCGGTGTGGGATGACATCCCGAAGTAATGCTGGTCTTAGAATGTTTATTGCTTTTGTGAAACCAACTACGAATACCACGTGATTTGTGTTTCACAACTAGGGGAAAGCAACATTCAAATTGCAGTGCGTTTGACGACTGGCCTTCTGTGCCCTAATGTCAGCAAGATATGTTTTATGCAATCATGTTACGAATTATGTACTCTTACATGACATTTCGAATTCACAGCTACGATAAAGTATCACAAGTAATGGTCTATGCTGAGTCAACTACAAAAGAAATGTATGGGCCGAGATATTACAACTGCACGCACGCACTCACGCACTCACGCATGCACACACGCAGACACACTGAAATGTCTTGAACGTTTATCATGTCCATGTTATCCATGTCACTGAGCCTGACAATCCGATCCATGAAATCGCCATTTACGACCAGCACAGATTTGTATCGAGCGATTGATGTCGCTGGTTAATTCAAAAGTAATATATACAGATAATTTTATTCAAAACCCATCGACTGTCTTCAAATCATAATGTATATCGACAATCACCTACCACCATTTCGGGTAAGAAGAAAGTCACATGAATATCTGAAATCTTCAAAACTGTATGCAAAACAACAGTAGAAGTAGAATACTGAAAACATTTAGGGGATTGATTTGAGTACAACGGGGAATGATCTGAGCCTGGAGTGAGTGTTTTGAGCCCAGTAGAGGGGTGTGACCAAAACACGCTAGAGTGATCTCAGCCTAGGTACAAATCTCTCTGGAGTGTTTACAGTTACAGTTTCATGTTTGTGTAGTGATTGACATCATGAGCATCGATCCGCGCAGTTGGGATACGATGACATGCATCAACCAAGTCAGCGAGCCTGACCACACCAACCCGTTTGTCCCCTCTTACGACAAGAATAGTCGCCTTGTACTGCAAGCATGGGTTGCTGAAGACCCCGGGCCACTCTGGAGTGAAGTGATTCATTACCGGCACTCCCACGGGTTATATAGTGTGATAAATGAAACTCATACAGGCAGTTGAGGCAGTTGAGAAAAATAATAATCGAGTGTACACTGTGCCATTGGCCCGCATAATACCGAGTGTACACTGTGACATTGGCCCGGATAATACCGAGTGTACAGTGTTTCATTGGCCAGGATAATACCGAGTGAACACAGAGCCATTGTCCAGGATAATACCGAGTGTACACTGTGTCATTGGCCAGGATAATACCGAGTGTACACTGAGCCATTGGCCAGGATAATACCGAGTGTACGCTGTGTTATTGGCCAGGATAATACCGAGTGTACACTGAGCCATTGGCCAGGATAATACCGAGTGTACACTGTGCCATTAGCCAGGATAATACCGAGTGTACGCTGTGTTATTGGCCAGGATAATACCGAGTGTACACTGAGCCATTGGCCAGGATAATACCGAGTGTACGCTGTGTTATTGGCCAGGATAATACCGAGTGTACACTGAGCCATTGGCCAGGATAATACCGAGTGTACACTGTGCCATTGGCCAGGATAATACCGAATGTACGCTGTGTTATTGGCCAGGATAATACCGAGTGTACACTGAGCCATTGGCCAGGATAATACCGAGTGTACACTGAGCCATTGGCCAGGATAATACCGAGTGTACACTGTGTCATTGGCCAGGATAGTACCGAGTGTACACTGCGTCATTGGCCAGGATAATACCGAGTGTACACAGAGCCATTGGCCAGGATAATACCGAGTGTACACTGAGCCATTGGTCAGGGTAATACCGAGTGTACACTGTGTCATTGTCCAGGATAATACCGAGTGTACATTGCGCCATTGGCCAGGATAATACCGAGTGTACACTGAGCCATTGGCCAGGATAATACCGAGTGTACACTAAGCCATTGGCCAGGATGGTACCGAGTGTACACTGTGCCATTGGCCAGGATAATAACGAGTGTACACTGCGCCATTGGCCAGGATAATACCGAGTGTACACTGTGCCATTGGCCAGGATAATACCGAGTGTACACTGCGCCATTGGCCAGGATCATATCGAGTGTACACTGATGTGATGATGGATTAGTATTTCGAGATAAAAACAAAAGACTCACAACAAATTAAGAATAAAGTCTCACCTATCCAACCCGACGTGTGTACGGATAAACATAACATTATATTCAGTTGGCCTTAATACGTTGGCACTCAACATGTACACCTTAACAACTGGACACACAATCGACATAAATGGAACACGCAACCGGAGAAGGGGGATAATGCAAGGGAGATAACTCTCATATGTCATCTCCATCTTCCAGAAGCCATTGTCACAGGCTAGTCCACGTGACAAGGCCACGCCTGATAAAGTACTTGACCTGAGTCTATTATGAGAATCCTGGGACGTGTCATGACCCATAGACGCTGTCTGAGATTAACACACACGGGGCACCCAACGCTGAACCTCCAACAAACGAGTAGGCAGTGGGATATGTTATCTCAACATGAGATAAGGTTTGAAAGTTTAAGAGTTAATTAAGTGGTTAGCTGTGTTCCGTGTCCCCTTTATGACTCATGCATATGTTTTTTTGTCACTATGAAATTGTCATGCTTTGACTTCATATGATTCATAAACACATGCTCATGATATTGTCGTACAATCGATTCCACTGATTTGCAGGGATTTCTTATGAATATGAAAGGATTTGTCGCTTTTATTCAATTTGCAACCCGCGCCTGCGTGCGTGTGTGTGTGTGCGTGCGTGCGTGTGCGTGCGCGTGTGTGTGTGTGTGTGCGCGCGCGTGCGTGCGTTCGTGCGTGCGTGTGTGTGCGTGTGCGTGTGCGTGTGTTGTTTAACGCAGTACACAGCAACATTTCTATAAGACTGAAAATGATCGAGTCTGGACCAGAACATCCAGTGATTGATATTGTGAACAACGATCCACGCCGTCGGGGTACGATGACACGCAATCAACCAAGTCACTGACCCTGACCCCCTCTTTTGAGTCACGTCTAACGACTTGCATAGGTTCATGGGGACCAATTCTAACCCGGAATCACCACGGGGGACATCCAAGATGGCTAACGCCTACAACCCACTTCACTGAGTCGGATGCACGCTGTGATGTGACTAAACTACGTAACTGTACACGACGTTGTAAATCCAAACTCACGAATTATGATTTCTCGAATATACAAATTTGAATGCTCGATGGACGAGCGTCAGAATCCACGTGAAACCCGTGCATAACAACGATTCTGATTTCATATCAACATCTGCCTTTTACCTTTTAATCCACGGCGTGGGTTATAAGAATACACCAGGCCAGATATAACAACAAACCAAGACAGTTAACAGTTGCATTGTGCAACAGTTACAGAGATAACACACGCCTAATGCATGACCTTCCGGAAGTTCATCAGCGGCCATCTTGCTAAACACGTCTGTGACACTGAACTTGCTCTCTTCCTCCGCGAGGGGGCGCTCATATGGAGCCCATTAAGCGTGTAGATAAGACATTTATGTTGCCTCCGACCCGATATTTAAACAACACTGACAAATGATAAGTAAACATTGATCATCAGTTGTTGTTGGTTTGACATTTCTCTCGGATTCACAGGCAATCGTTCCCGTATCACCTGAAACAGGTATTCCCTAGGAACTAAGTACACTTCACAGTCAGCCAATTAGATACTGTTCGTATTGCAAGGCATGTGCATGCACTGAACTTTCTCTGATTATCTTTGCTATACACACCCATCCGAGCACCAAATCATATTCATTTTGAATATAAACCTAACATGTGTCGCACGAATGTTTATAATAAAACGTTAGGTATTTTTATTATATTTAATTGGGAAACCCTTGGGCTTCCGCTTGAAATGTAAGATAAGTGATTTTTTTCGGCCAACTGGACAAGTCAAATCTTATAGTTCTTTCTTACCCTTAAAGGAGCCGAGGTGAAATGTGATTTAACATCGCGGTCAGGTATATTTGGTACCCACCGGCGGCCCTCGCCACAAACACATGCAAAGGCAAGTCAATTGTTCACATTAAAAAGCATATGGTACAATAGGGAGTTGCATCGGACATTAGTTTTGTCACTGATGCGTCAAATTTTAAAATGTATACATAAAACGTTAGTAAAATATCTTAGCTAAATTCACTTGTTTTGACCAGCAAAGTCCGAGCGGAAATTCCGATTCATATGTACAAAGAAACCGATCGCCAAGGAGGGGAGCATTGAGTTACGCTTGTATTTTGTGGGGGAATGATCTATGCCCGAAAATGCTCGAAAAGTTCATTTGTCTTCAGCTTATACAACAATGAATAAATGTTAATATATAATAATGTTAAATATAGTGAACTGCCTCAAACAAAAACCTCAAAGTGTATGATCACATTAAATAGAATTATTAATTCTTTTTAAATCTAAACACTCTGACCTAGTGCCTTTAATAACTCGTGTAGCTCCGGGTTTGAATCATCTTCCCGAGGCAAGAGAGTTAACTGACTTTAAAAGTCCAGTTTCCAGTTTCCACTGGACTTTTATAGTCAGTTAACTCACTTGCCTCGGGAAGATGGGTTTGAATTGGTCTGCAGCAACCCATTCTTGCCGTAACTAACGGAATCGGGTGGTCAGTCTCGCTGAATTGGTTGATAGTTGTCATCGTATCCCAATTGCGTAAGTCGATGCTCATGATGTCAATCACTGGATTGTCTTAGCCAGACACGAGTAATTACAGACCGCCGCCATATAGCTAGAATGTGTGTAACGTTATTAAAACAAAAACAACAAAAAACGACACGTGTCTTTCACATAATGATATAGTCGCAGATATAAGTACGTGAAACCTTGGATTGATCTTGGCGAGACTTCACAATAATAATCACCTGAGGAGGCACGTGATAGTTTCCAGGTGG